GTTCAAGCCCGCTTCCTGATAGGTGGCTTTCAATGATACGACTATATTCTTCATGCCTTCATGTAAAACCTGCATCATGATCTATTGTTATTCTTTCTCCCTACGTTCTGATGTTTCCAGGGATATTGTAAAGAACCTTTAGTTCTTTTCCAGCTGTTTATCCATCCGGTCTTGAATTCCCCGCAGCACTTCTGCCACAGGTCCTTTAGATATGATCAGTGGGTTGGGTTGGCTACTTCCTGACTTGGAGTCAGGACTCATGATGATGCTACTTATTGTCACCGGCACTACATGCTCACGATGATCAGCTGCTCCAGTATTTGGCGATAAGTGTTTCAATCCTACGTGCATGGAGATCCCTTCTGGTTCGTGAGAACCAGCACCTGTTTCAACAGTCCTTCTGTCTTTTCGCATCCTTGCCATCTTTGTTACACAGGTCCCACTGGGCATGCCAAAAATTATTCGTGATTGAATAACAAATACCAGGCATACCAAAGATGTTGGGTCTCAATAGATAACCAAAGAGTCCCGAGTTTCTTTACTACAGTTCACTCGGATGTAAAAAGATAGTAGGCTTTGGTAGAACAAGTGTGTAATTTTATTGAAGTGTTTGAAAATTACATACTACAAACTAAGAATTGAAACGGGTTAGTAAATGTAAATTATGCTAGTCTTGATTGAGTGTTGACTGCCTTCTCTATTTTTCTTCCTTCTATTTATAGTGTCTGATAACAGAAGCCTTTTTTTGAAACTTAGCACGTTCTACCGAAAATTCAGGAATCCTGTAAAACTCATGACACGGTTTCTCCATTTTGATCAGCAGCCTGTTTCACTGAACTACTTGGGCGTATATTTCGGCATAACTTAGGATCGTGTCTTCGTGCCAACGGTCTGAGATTTGAAGCTGACAGGATTTCGACATGTTTATGTGTTATGGACTTTATTGAGCTTCGGGGCCGGCATCTTTTGTTTATATTAGGCCTGACGTTTCAATTACTTAGCTCAACTAGCCTCGTAACCTATTCGAGCGACGTTTCATATTTAGCCCAAACAAATATACATTTATTAAATTTAAAAAAAATTAATCATTTAATCTTTCAGTTTTGATATAGTTGTAACTCAATTTTTAAATTTTAATTTTTTATAATTTAGTTTTTATAGTTTTAATTAAGTTGTAATTCGTTCCCTAAATTTTATTTCTCATAATTTAGTTTCTATAATTTAACAACTTAAATATTGATCCCCATATTTTTAAAAATAAAATTATAAAAATTAAAAATATCTTGAGCCTTTAATATTTATAATATTTATAAAGATTAAAAGGGTATAATAATTTAAAATATTAGTAACAAATTTTAACATAATTTTAATATTTTTATTTGTTACTAATATTATAAATATTAAAAGTTTAAAATATTATTATTTTAATATTTTAATCTTTAAATATTATAAATTCTAAAGGTTTAAAATATTTTTAATTTTTATAATTTTATTTTTTTAAAATATAAAATTAATATTTAAGTGATTAAAACTATAAGGATTGAATTGTAAGAAATGAGAGACTGAGTTATAACCGAGTTAAAACTATCAAGACTGAGCTGCAACTAGTCAAAATTTAATGACTGAATTATAAGTGGATCAAAACTATAAAGATTAATTTTTTAATTTTAAATTAATTTCTTTTAATTTTAGCATAAGTGAAAAAATGTATATGGTTATTCAACAAGACTTTTTAATTAATAATATATTTAATTATTGATCGAACACTACAATATCATGTGTATTACATGTAACCAACTTCACTTAATAAACTAGCCAAAAAAAAACTTCATTTAATAAAATAATGCTTGTTGTTCTTATTGAAAAACACATTGCACATATATTTTTGCTTGCAAAGAGTAAATTACAATAATTCTTATAAACTGACTTACTGGTTGAAGAAAAACTAATCACTTTAGTAGTTTAAATTTACTTATTTAATATAAAATTTTGTAAAAATAATTTTTAAACAAGTTATTAATACAGTGTGGTGTTATAACTATGAGTGTTTGATAAGAATGAATCAAAATCAAAATATATTAATTGGAAAAATTTCTTATACTCATGGACTTATTTATTTTTATTTTTTCTGATTGAATCAATATCTTATACTCGTTGATATTCATATATCAATATACATATAATTTTTTTTGACAATATACATATAATTTTTTTGACAATGTACATATAAAATTTATATTAGCAAATGTAAGTGATGAAAAAACAAAATCACTTCCTTTGACAGCGGTCAACGTACGGGATTTTCATTGGACTCACAAAAAATCAATTATATTTAAACTAACGATGATAAATGTTATAGTATTTTCATCTGAATTTTAATATTTCACAATTCACAGCCATTGAAATATAGTCACAAGTTCGTTACCTTGACCTTGCCAACTAACAAGATAACAACCCAGGACCAAACTAGACGGTACATTAATCATTAGACCCATTTAGAAAAAGTTCTTTTCAAAATTCAAAGGACTCAATTAAAGCCTTGATGGACTTTAATTTTTTTAAAAAAATTAATTATTTAATTTTTATAATTTTGACCTAGTTATAACTCAATTTTTGAATTTTAACTCGATTGTAAAATCAATCTTTGAATTTTGTTTCTTATAATTTAATCCCTGAAGTTTCAACCTCTTAAATATTGGTACCTATATTTAAAAAATAAAATTATAAAAATTAAAAATATTTTAAACTTTTAATATTTATAAATATTAAAATGATTTAGTAATTTAAGATATGAGTAATAAATTTTAAAATATTTTTAATTTTTATAATTTTATTTTTTAAATATAGGTATCAATATTTAAGAGGGTGAAACTTCAGGAACTAAATTGTGAGAGGTAAAATTCAGAAATTAATTTACAATTAAGTCAAAACTTGAAGGACTGAGTTATAACAAGTTAAAATTCAGAGACTGAGTTATAATTAGGTCAAAACTATACGGACTAAATGATTAATTTTTTTATTTTTTTAACTATTTAATTCAACCTTTTGTCTCCAAAATAATCACAAAATCCATAATATTAATAATTTAAATATCTTCAATACTTCACTGCATTTTTTTCATTTTAAGTTTTAGATGTTATAAAAAAAATGTAAGTTAATTTGTCTTATTTAGCTATACATTTAGAAAGCAAATGACACAAAAACCATGGTAGTGCATATTGGAAGAAAATTGATTCTCCGCAAACAAAATCGGTTGCCTTCTTATATTTATATCAACAAAAAAGAGAGAGAGAATGCGATGATCAATATAGGTGTGTAGCTGAACATGGATAGAGCTGGACAGGCCATTGCTCCATGCCTAACTCGAAGAATGAATAGACTATAAAACGTAGCTCATTGCCCAACTCTACTTGTGACAAGTCCTAACATTACGGACAACACCTTCAAAGCTGTTCTGCCCAAATGATAGTACTTGCCTATTATTTTTGAAGAAAAACTTCATTAAATCAAATTTGATAGACATCATTTTAAATTTTCAAAAAGCAAATATATTAAATAATTCAATCCAAAATAATATTCATATTTTATAAAATCCATATCATAAAAGTACAAATCTCTGACTTAATATGAAAACAACATTATCCATGATTCAAGTGAAATAGCATTCACAAACAATATACTCCTCTGGTCCAGTATATAAATTACTTTTTAGAAGTATAATCCAGTCTATTTTATAAGTTATTTATTGATGAGATTGTTTTGTTTCAAATTAAAATTTTTAAATTATCCTTAAAAAGTAAGAGAGAGAAAGACAGAAAAAATAATACTATTTGATTGACTTATTTTTTACTTTTTATCTTAAGCTTATGTTTAGAATTTTACTTATTTTTATTCCTTGTACTTTTATTGTAATTATATTGATGAGGTTAGTAAAAATGACTTATAAATAAGACTGGAAGGAGTATTACATAACTAACGAGGCATCTAGATGGAGCGTTTTCTTAAGGTTCAAATGGCCTGTGATCAATCTAGCGATCGCATTCCTCCCTCCATGTTGCATTTGGAAAAAATTACATTACAAATAATAAAGTAAGATGTGTGTGTGTGTGTGTGTGAATTGTTGAGTTTAAGATAAAAATATTACTTGCACACTGAATAATTTGGGAGGGAAGGGAAAATGAATTGGGAATAGTCGAATGGCTCACTTACAAAAAGCATGGTTTAAGACTTTAAGTTAATATATAAATAATAAAAATTACATTATAAAAAATAAATATACCTCTGGCAAGACAACACACCATGCCCGCCAGCCGGATTAGCTCAACCCAACATGCCCAAATCATGTCGAGATACTTTTTTCAGGTTGCACTGCACAAAATTTCATCAGGTCTAGTTGAGCATGTTAGGCAACCAGACATCATGAATAGCCTAATAGCTGTGTATGAAAAATATCTTTATATAGTAATTATTTGGGCCTAAAATGAACATGCGTGTTCTAAATTGATCCCTAAGTTACAATAAACTTTGGTAAAATTCCTATTGTTGTCCAACATGATTATTCCAACAACATGATATCATCATCATCATCATCATCCAAAGGCCTTAAAAATGGAAATATATTTTAACTAAAAAAAATGCATTTGTCTTTAAATATTTTGTTATTAATTATAGGACATTGTGTGGAGAATTTATGAATATTATGGTGTACATTTATAAATATTTGTTATTTTTTCATCTTGTATAAATTGTACATTATAATATATTGTGCTGAGAATTTATAAAAATTATACTGTGCATTCATGAAGAAACGGAGGACAAATGTGTCTTTTTAAATTAAAATATATTTTCACTCAAGGCTTGGGTCTATAGAGAGTTTTTATATTATATTAGACCTCAAATGTGAATTTTGTTGCTTTGGGTTCCTAAGTGAGATTCTCCCAAATTCTTATTTATAAGATCCTGTTCCGTTCTCAACTCATATGGGTCAAGCCCTCTATAAAATCCAACCCATCCCACTCCAATGTTCAAGAAAACCTCACAAAACCAATCCCTTTCTTTTCACTCATTGAAAAGCATTTCAACAAACATGTTCAAGGCATCTTCTTCCCTCACCTTTCTCTGTTCTCTCTTCTTCGTTTCCGCCATAGGCGCCACTCCCTCAAGCTTCCTCAAATCCTCCTGCAGCACCACAACTTACCCTTCCGTTTGCGTCGAATCTCTCTCCGCCTACGCCTCCACCATCCAGCAAGATCCTCACCAGCTGGTCCAGACCTCCCTGTCCCTCAGCCTCAACACAACCCTCTCCACCAAGGCCTTCGTCGCAAAGCTCAACAAGTTCAGAGGCCTCAAGAGCAAAGAGAACCAGGCTCTCCATGACTGCCTGGAAGAGATCGGCGACAGCGTCGATCGGCTCAGCCGATCTATCAAGGAGCTCAAGCTCTGCGTCAAATCTAAGGGTCAGGACTTCGCGTGGCACATAAGCAATGTCGAGACGTGGGTGAGCTCTGCGATTACCGATGAAAGCACTTGCACTGATGGATTCGCCGGAAAGGCTTTGAATGGCAGAATCAAGAGTTCTATAAGGACCAGAATGCTTCGTGTTGCTCAGGTCACTAGTAATGCTCTTTCTCTCATCAATCACTACGCCTCTAAACACTGATCAGAAAATGTTGATCTGTGTGTGTGTGTGTGGGGATTCGTTTGTGGATTGAATCTGAAAAGACGATGAGGATAAAGAACTGAAGATTTTGCTTTGAGAACCATTTCAGTATGGTTGTTTTTTTTTTTAATTAATGAGTGTTTTATATGTGGTGTATACAGTTAAGAATCCAATAGAATATGAAACCCTTGTTATACTTAATATATGTTTTTTATGTTGAGCATTTGAGTTGTCCAAAAAAAAAAAGTTTAATTTCCGGCAACTTTGTTGAATTTCAGGACTAAATTAGGCGGAAATAATTTTTTACATTTAAAAATGATTTTTAAAATTTTTAATTTATACAAATAACAAGAAGTAACCCAAATGTGAGGGAATTCTTATTTTACACATATTTTTCGAAAGTATGAATGATTACGTTTTATTTTTCGATGGAAGTATGAATGGTTTTTTTACGTACATGTTATTACTCTATTATTTTAATCCATGTATAATAATATGACAATAATTAATTTTTTTGGCCAAATCAATAATTATTATTATAAATTCACACACACCTGTGGGTGTATTATTTAGGAGTATATTCGACCTTACCGTTTCACTCTCTCATCGTATGGTGACATTGACCTATCCATTTATTTTTACAAATTACTAATGAAAAAATTCTTGAATAAAAAAGCAAATTGATTTATAAATTACAGGATTTAGAGCATATGGTGCAATTTTCCCAACTTTTTACATAGAATATCAGTAATATCTGTTTAACTAATATATAAATATAATTATAAATATCGGACATTCATTTCTGCAATTTAGTATCTAATATATGGTGTATTTACAACTTATTTTCACCCTTTAACTTTCCTGCTTTCGAACACCTGAATAGTCCTTTTTTATTTAAATTCTGAAATGTTTTGGCTTTTAATTAAAATTAAATTAATAAATTGGTTCCAAAATCTGAATTGTCATCTTTCTATTGGGGGAAAAAAAAAAGAATAGTGTATTTATTGTTTGGGGGGTCCAACGAGGAGAAAATCTAGGCTGATTTAAGATGCTCCTTCAATTATGGTTGTTTGCTCTTTTCAATCAATTAAAATCACACGCATGGGCCAACCACGTTGAAATAAAAAAATTTATTATACTAAAATAAGGGGAGAAAGTCTATGACGAATTAAACCGTGGGCAGCAAGTGAAGACTTTTATGAAATGAATGTATGTTTCATAGAAACAATAACTTAGCTCAAGTCAGATAAGCCAATTTAAATAAGTTTAAAAACTTTTAAGATTGGATTTAGAAATTTAGAAGATTTTTTTTTTAATTTTGAAGTTATTCAGGCCACTCAAATAGATTTAAAAAAATTTGGGCAAATTTCAACTCAAATAGATTTAATCTAAATACCTGATTTTTTTATTATCTATAAAATAATAAAAAAAATAAGATAAAAATTGAAAATGTTAATTTTTTCAAAACAAAAATTAAAATTATATAAAAAATAAAATAAAATAATATTTAATAATTTAAATATTTGATTTATTCTGAATAAGTCCAAAAACTTAGTTAAGGAATTAGAGTCAGACTCAATTATATGAATCTTTTTATATATTAAAATATTTTAAAATTGATTGGAATAAACTCAGCTTAACAGGATTACCAACTCCAATATTTCACATTAAGTTGCCTTAATTCAAGGCGCAAGTTATGGCTAACAAGGATCGCGGGATTCATCCACTCTCGTGAGCCGCATCATGCAAGCAGCAAGTCTCACAATTTGAGGGAGTGGCCTAAAATCATGTATCCAATAAGTAAGGATGGGAACAAATTAAGCCAAATCTGGCTTAAATAGACTTGAATCTTGGCCTGAGTATATGTATAGGTTTTTTTTTGGGCTCAGTGTCATAAGCTTAATAGAATCTAAAGCCTTTTTAAAATCTACTTATTAGTTATTAAGTATGTCTTTAAAAAGGTTCAATAAGAAATAAGATTTAAAGAGCCTTTACTAGATTATAAGCTTATTCAAATCAACAACAAGGCTCAATTATTCAACCAAAATAATGTAAATTAAAATATAATAATGTAACTTAAATGTATTTAATATACAAATAAAATATAATATTTATTGAGCATCTCAATTATAGTTCAACTAATATCTTAATTATGATTATTGAGTTTTATCAATTTATTAATACTTAAAAATTATCAAATATATTTTAAAAAAAATTCAAAACAATTGTCAAAATCATAATACTGCTCATCTCTTCTAAAAATTTAAAATTTGTTACATTTTGAGTAATATATGATAAAGTCTCTTATCTTTTATAGTTGTTCAATTAAATTAAACAGTTGTTATCATATTATGTAAAACACTTATCAACTAAATGAATTTAGATTAATCTTATTGTGAGAGACTAAATTTTTTATTAAACCCAATTTAGTTGGTGCTGTTGAAAAGTTCAGTACTCTCAATAGTCAAGATTGAGGGAAAAAAATTAAATGAAACTATAAAAAGCACAAAATTGTATTAATAAAAATTAAAATATATTTAAACGCTTTATTCTGGCTCTATTTTTTCATTAGTAAATGAAGCATGTCCAGAAAATAAGGAAAAAATGGGATGTAGATTGTGATTCGTGCCAGAAATGAAGGCGTTAATTTGGTTCCCTTGAATACTTGTCCAAATTAAATAGTCTCAAATTATTAATGAGGTTGGATCCGGTGAAAAGAATTAATTCCTTACAAAGTGACGAATCAAAGTTTAAATTTTAATTGAAAAAATATACATATTTAATGTCTAACAGTATTTTGAACATAATTATTTGTAATGAGAGGTTACCCAAAAAAATTCCAAATTATTTCATGTGAACATGTTGGAACGTGGAAATGCATCTCTCGTTTGTCAAGGATTGGAGGAAAAAAGAAAATATAAAAGAGTTTTTTTTTTTTTTTAACAACAAAAACCTTTCAAAGTTGAAATCAAATATTACTCTCTCTATTTTCAAACGTTGACTACTACTTAGAATCTCATTCAAAAATTTGAGAAGAGACCTATAAAGTATCGATATTTTAAATCATTTCACATATTCACATCGATGTTATATTTGATACTGAACTTATCAATATGTATTTATAAAGAATCAAAATCAATATTTTTTTAATTTTAAAAATTTTAATTTTTGATACTTGAAAAACAAAAATTAAAAAAAATTAAATTTATTAAAACTTTCAATATTAAACTTTTTATTACTAATATCATTTTTTGATTTACTTTCAAAGTCAAAGATTATATTTTTCTTAAAAAAAGAAGTTTTGGATGTAATAAAATAATAAACATTACTCTTTTCTTAATTACAAAAACTTGAAAATGTAACCTTATAATGATCGAGAAGGAGAAAATGTTGATATTATACCTATTAGTAAGGATTAAGTGGTAGGAAATTAGGTATATATAAAATAAAACTATAACTAATGATTATATTTTACTCGGTATTATTATAAAGGACTATATACATATGTTAATTTGAATATTTTTAAATTAAAATCATATTTTCATATTTTTTATAAATATATATACATGTATCAGAAACACATCATATCTTATATTTTTAAAAATTAAAGTATCAACGTATCGAATAAGTATTGTATCCGATATGTGTAGTAGTATCTGTGCAACCTAGGAAGAGATTTATTAGCTTGACAAGTTCAAAGGATTATGAATTCTCACTTGACATCTTAGTTGTTAAACTCTCAAGTTAGTTTTTTGAATTTAACATTTTTACATTTTTAACTTATAAAATTATGCCAATTCACTCATAAACTCGAATTAGATATAAACTCAATAAAACTTGTAATTTACCTTTGAGTTTACTATTATGACATTTATAACTTATCAAATCGTGTTAACTAATTTATAAACTCGAATTAAATATAAGTTTGATTAAAGTTGTTAAACTCGTCAATTTTTTTTTAGCTGAGCGAGTTAAATATATATTATGAAAAATTTAATTTATAAAAGTTATAGGATCTTGTTCAAAAGAAAAAAAACTTAAAATGTAAAAACTAATATTAATAAAAAAAATAAAAATATCAAAAATAAGTTTCCCTATTTTAAAATTTTTATATTTTGTGTATAATAATTTATCAATGTAGATGAATTTAATTTCAATAATTTATATTTTAATATATTTAAATTAAATTATGGTCATATTTTAATAACTATATATTAATAGAGACAAACTCTTACAAATTTATTATCTAAATTCACGACATGAGTTTATATTCTTGTTACAAATTTACTGAAATTCACAAGTTTAACAACCTTACTTGGCACACATGATTCTCAATTAAAATTAAATTTAATGTTCAATTATTAAAATATCTTTCATTCATTAAAAAAACATCACTATCGTCGAGCCTAATTTTATAAATTGAAATTTATTTAAATAATATAAATAAAAAATATATTTTGATATATATATATATATATATATGATGACCGGGAAAGTACATGAGTTTGATGATATATACACTCTTTAAAATAGCAATAATTTTTTTATAAAAATATTCAAACTATTAAAAAATATGTAATTTCTAAAAAATAAAATATATAAAAATAAAATTATAAATTAAAATAATATTTGAAAGAAAGACTGAATTTTTGTTTTTAAAAATTAGAAAATGCATGAAGATTTTGTTTACCTCATCATTTTATCCTTTATAATATAAAAATAAGGAAATATTTTTCTCTTTTAAAAATTTCATATTATTAATTAATCTATAATCTATTGTAAAAGCCGACGGGTACTGTATATCTAGTGTATCCAACTTTTTATATTTTTTTTTACTTTTTAATTGTTTGATATACAATACTGCTTTTTTTTTTTTTGCTTTTTCATCGTTAATTTTTTTAATATGTTATAATAAAAAAGGTAAAGAATAATGTGGGCCCTATGATAAAAGAGGTATATATGGAACTTATAAAAAATAAATTATTAATATGAAATTTATAGTTAAAAATGAGTAAAATATTTTGTCTATTGTTATCTTAATTAATGATAACTCTCCTCGATTTTTTTAAATCTATATAAATATTTTTTAGTATGGATAGTTATAAAATACAAGCCTCTCTTTTATTTTTAATATTTTATTTTCATCTACCTAATCATTAGTTGACTGTTAAATCATGTATGCTGAACTAAAATATCCCTATTTTAATATAAATGTTGTCTAAAAATTATTTAAATGACTAAAAATAAATTTTATATTATTTAAATGAATTTGTAATTTTTTTAAAAATTAAATATATAAATTGACTTTGTGTTATGTAGACCAGTTTTTAAGCCCAAGAAACTGAGATAAATGTGTTTGATTTGGTTTCGATTTTCATTCTTAATTAATCCTCTCTTGCAGGCCATTTGCATAAAATACCTACATCCAAGTAGTAATCATATTATAATCTACTCAATTAATCCGCTTAGCACAAAGTGTAATGGAAAGGAATCCTGCTAGTGATAGTAGCAGTATGAACAAAACTAGCAAAGAAAAATACAATGTTCTTCAAAGAGAAGAAATTAATTACCAAAATAGGTTAAGAAACATATTATAATACAATGCTCCTTTAATTTCCATGACTCGTTGAAGTTTAACTTACTATTTTTGTTTATATTATTTATAAGTGAAGCAAAAATAGTGGAAGAAAATATTTTTACTACTTGCTCTACCATCACTTCATGATAAATATCTAGTGCTCATGTTTGAGTTCAGTACATTTCTTCATCTCTGATGCTTAACATCAAAAATAGTGGTAGGGCCCTGAACTTATAGGGATAATAAAGAGACAAGTAACTCTAAAAAGGAGAGAAATAGAGCAAGAATCTCACCCTGTTAGTCTCTTAATAGCCAAAATACTAAAAGAGTCTCCAAGTAAGATAAACTAGAACTTTTATTACTCAATATGTCTAGCCTTTGAGGTTGGCTAGTCTAGTTATAATGCTAAACATGAATGAAAATAATTAATGAATAACAGAAATATTTTCAAATATATCTAACAACTTAAAAGTCCACTTATTTAGCAACTAACAGTAAATAATTAAAATAAACAACATCCATAAAAATCTGCATAAAAGCATAAACTTCTATTATCTTCCTCTTTTTTTTTTGTCTCTGATAGGTGATTAGTGGTTGGTTTTACTGACTTGGTCTCTTATCAAACAGACAAATTGAGGGCAACTTCCCTTCCAAATTGCAGAGGTAAGAGAGAGAACTCCCCTCCTGTGCTCTCTAGATAGAAGGATTGGCTTTTCCGATATAAATTGGGAAACCTCACAGATTAAGACCTTTAGGCTATCTGATGCTATTGTATATTCGCATTGTAAAGACATACAATTCGTATTGGCTCTTTGTGTGATAATTAGATTCTCTGTCTGGTGGTGTGTAGCCCCAGAACCATTACTCCTTAAACCATAGGCTCTAAGCACCACAGATATAAACCTGCTATTTCAAGTGGTCAAGGACACCTTTGTAAACAAGTTTATAGCTCCCATCAAGTCATGTTATGGTGAGGGTGGCAACTCCGAGTCCCTCTCAATTTCCTCTTTTTCTTTGAGATGGTACATATATGTATTTGTGCCAACTTGGTTTTACTTTTACTTCATTGAGCCCAACTTACTTGAGTTACTAGTTATTTCGTGGTAATATTTTTCTTCACTTTACCAGTATAAAACTATAAAAAAATAATAATTTAGGCTTTTAAGAATTAGTCATGGTAAGGCATTTTTTGCATCTCATTATTATACTCACTATTTACAGATAAACACTGACACTATATTGGCAGTCACCTAAAACATAGTTCATTTCCTATAACAGATTTCTTCTGATTTGCGTTTAACAAGTTAATCATATAATCATGTTTTCCAGCTGAATCCCTACTCATAACTTCAATTCAAATATGAAAGTAATGTCTTCACTATATTTGCCAATTTTGCTTGACCAATGATCAATTGAACTTCTTTGGTTATGGTTTAACGTTGCTGTATGAACCATATTGGTATCACAGATATGTCAGGATGCCTTATTATGAAACAGAGACAAACCCCATTGATCTAAAACAAGATGCGGAAGAGATAACGAACCTGAGCTCTGCTTAGGGCAGGGAAGAGACAAGTAGCTTTCCCATACTTGGTTGTAAGTGATCGCTTAGGGTAGAGAGGAGAATGATCATTGGTGTCGTTAACGGTGGGGCAGGGAAGAGACAACAGACAGCCTTTCTCTACTCGCTTGCAAGTAATCGCTAGGGTAGAGTAAAGAATGAACAACCTCAAAATTTCACAGCCATATAAGGGTGTTTCAGTCATTTCCCATTATATTAAAATGCCACTTAAGGACCTGAGGACTTAATTGGTATTTTAAAATATCTTAGGACTTACCTTGAATAAAATTGATCCTTTGGAACATAATTGTCATTTTTCAAAATAAAAAACTGATAAAAAAGGAGTGTGGCCCTTATCACTTAACAATTTTTTTTTGGAGTACAGCACTTAACAAGTTTACATAACAATGGGATTTCATGATAATTTTAAATTCAGTTAAAGTATATTTTTAATTTTTGAACTTTATATAAGGTTTTATTTGGACCTTTTAATTTTATGAAGTGTATTCTTAGTCTAGTAAAGATGCAAAATTAACCACAAACTATTTTTTGATAAATATATGGCATTCTATATTATGGAGTTGTGCAAAGTAAATCATTAACAATTTAAAATAGCACCCTTAACAATTTAAAACAGCACCCCAACACTTCTTGTTAATTTTCAACAAACGACTAGTATTTTTAACTGAAATAAAGAGTTGGCATGCTATGAGTGTATGTCTACTTGATTATTTAAAAATCGAACTGAACCAGCTGGTCAAATTGTAAACTGGAGCTACTAACACTTGGTTTGGACTAAAAATTCATTTTCATGATTATGCCAGTTTGGACTAAAGTTGAGTCATTATTGAGCTGAAAACTTAAGTTGAACCACGAACCGGAGCAGTTTTTAGAAAATTAAATGGTTTTAAACAACAAAAAGCTTAAATTTTTTTATAAAAATTAGAAAGATTTAAAAATTAGATTATACTAAAAGCTAACTTTATTTTTAAATAATTTACATATATAAAATATGATTTGAGATTTTTTTTTACAAAAATGTTGACAATTATAAAAGTAAATACATATACTTTTGAGTTTATTAATGTCTAATTTAATTAAGATCTATATATATTTGATAAATTATAAAATTATAATTTATAATATTCTTAATTAATAATTATGTTATGTAATTTTATTAACATATTATATATAGAGATTATTTTATATTTATATATTTAATATTATTGATCATACATACGAATTGTAAACGGCTTGCCTTTTTATGTTTAATATTCGATCCCGTCATGAAAAGATTGACTTTGATAGGGGTCGACTGTTTTGAATTTTTGGATTTACGCCACTTGTCTCATTGAATTCAAATTGGATTACTTGTATTATGTTTTCAAGAAAAAAATGGTTACACATGGACGACGGAGGGTCGGACGTTGGAGTTGGAGACGAAGCGCGGGAAAACTGTTCAAGTCCCCAAAAGAAAAAAAGAAGAAAAACTAACAAAGAGAAAACTGTACCGAATTTACTCTCATTGAATATTGTTTGACCAAACTGGGCATTCACTTTCAAAACTTTCATCCCCTTGAAAAACGGAGTCAAGCTCTCTTCCCCGAGCCTGTTCTCATTCCACTTGACCGTCATTTTCCCGGGAAAATGCCCAAGAAACACAGCAGGGTTCCAGAGGTCTTATGGCGTCTATTTCGTAACAGAGCTCGCTCGTTGGCAGAGACGATAGTATCGCTGCTTCCTCCTCCGCCTCCTTCGCCGAAGGACTGCCTCTGCAAGGGGCTGCATTGCCTCGGCTGCTCCACTGACCCCAGCTCGTTTCTTCTCAGACCTGATGACCCTTCTGACTACCGCAAACTCCTCACTCACTGCTTCGTTGTCGTCTCTGACAATGCACCTTCATTCTCACTGTTCATCCCTCATTCTCGCTGGTCTCAAAATGAGGTCTATCTTGTCCCTTAACTGTACACTTGATTTGTAATGAGGGGTTAGTTAAAACAATTGATGTTTGATAATCGGTTAATGAACTGATGAAATGAGTATGATATTCTTGGTGTAGTAAAGGGTTTTACATTCCCAGCTTCTCCTAGACACTGGCTTTCTGTTAGTTGCCGTAAGAAGTTTGGTTGGGTGGATCAGGCTTGCAAATAAAGAGTTATTTCTTTCAGATTGTGAGAAGGACCATTGAAATGATGGCTTGCGGAAAACAACCGGTTTCAGCAGTTAGCAATGTGCTATGCTCTGGTTATACTAAGGCATGCAACTTTTTCTCGTCTCTCTGCTTTTTTGGGGCATTGGTGCATTTTTTCCCTCTCTGTTTTATTTACCTGGTTACGGGCCTGCTTTTTCATTTGCAACATGTGGCATAACGTGCTGGCTTACTTATTCTACGTGGCCATCCTAGAGTGGCGTTCCTTAGGTCGAAATGGTTTGATTAGTTGTTGTGCTGTTGATCCTGAACTCTTCTATTTTGTTTATGAGTCACAAGGCAAGCGGCTTTTTTGTATTCTGCGTTCTCAGGATGAAATGATGTTGGTATTTTGGCGTTTTATGAAGACTGCTGTGATTTATCAGTCCCATATTTTTAAATGAGTGGTTTAATCTGTATCTTTACTTGTCTTGCCCCTCGTACTCAGCACAGCATGTATGGATTCATATGCAGAGTAGATGTTTCAGCCCCATATTGGATCTTCTATCTTGTTCACCTTGGGATGTTCTATTGAATAGGGTACGTCATTTGATAATTATTGGCATATATAGCTTCTTTATTTATAAGGAGCTGCTTTCTTTTTTTCAATAAGGTAAATTGCATTTATGCAGGTTGGGGATGATTTAATGATTTACCTATTACGGAATACATCAATATTCTTGCCAGTTTCCCACATGAAATACCATCAGGTGGCTGGTCCTTCTGTTAGTGGTCTGTGCCATAAGATGTCCAAGTGCTCATCAAAATTTGACTCCCGGATGAATTCACTTCCTCAAGGTGGTAATTTATTGTTCTAGTATGTCATATTATGATCTTAGTAAACATGTATGATTGTATAGCAAGGTCAATCCTGTGGATATGTTTTTGCAAATGGTTGTTTAGAGCTGTCAGATTGGGTTGCAAACTCTCCAGCTTGTCAACTTGGTGGTAGAACTCTCTTTATAAGATGGGTCTACGCTATCTATATCCTTAAAGTGGTGGGCTAAAGGCTGGGCTGAGCTAGCCTTGTGATGTGAAAATTTTTATTTATTTATATTGAAAAGCAACCAAATTTTTATAAAAAGTTTGTTGACATAAATTGACATAATTAATGAATAATTAAACAGTACTGCTATATAAACAAGTTCATGTTGTTGATTATTTTCATTTTTTGATGAGCTGTCTTGCCTAACCCTGAATTGGGATTCTCTAAAGTACTTATAAAACATTTGCATTAGTTTTATTTATTTTTGGTCAATTTTGAATCATTTTGTCAGCCACCACCCCTACCCATTAAAGTGGCTGGCAAACTGTAAAAGGTCGGGCCAGGTCAGTCTGGCCTTTTTGGCCCTAAATAGGCACTCATCTAATAGCTTAAGATTTTTTGAATGTGCTGATTTTTGATGGGGCGTTAAAGCCTTATGATTGTTGGTATTGCATACTTAAAAGAAAAGATATCCCTTTTTGACTCTTGAAATGGGCAGGATGTTGCCATGATGATTTTTGGTTGCAATTTTTTTTCAGAAATGCAGAGGAAAAGAAAAAGACTGGTGATATTGACTCAACAACAGGAAAGAGGAAATGCTGTACTTCTGTCAATGACAATGATCCTGCAAGCCTTGTAAGTGGTCTTGACATCATCAGTGTGAAGTCTTCAATGCCACTGATCAGGAATCATGGGACAAGGCATATGCAGACAAGTTTTGCTAGCGTTCCAAAGTCAACAATAGGAACTGAGTCTTGTAAACATAAAGCGGAGTCAGAAGGGGGGAAAAGCTCAAATTATGTTGCTGGTAGGCTTGGAAAGCGTTCAAGGCCATTTAGATGGCACCGCATTCGAAGGCAGAGGCAATCAAACTTCAGTGAAGATGGTGTGCATACCCAGGGCAATATGTTTCCTACTGAAGAAGACTGCTTACCTGGAGGTTTACATTGCAATGAAACCAGCTTAGGCAATCAAGAAAAGGTGATCTATTGTTTCCTTGAAATATTGCTGATGGTCATTTATAAACTTTGTTCACAAGTCTTTTGATTGGTATTAGAGCTTTTCTTGTATTGAAACCCAGATTTTTTACATAACACGTGCATAATTGACAATATGTTTTGGTGATTTTAAAGTTTATTGTTGTAACAGACTGTACTGGTTGAAAGTAGTGAGGGAAGTTTATAAGCCATTACTTAAGTTCATATGGAAATCATTTTCATTGCTGATTTCTGGTGACAGTATAGCTTTTCAAAATAATGATACTCCAAACATGGCAGACCAATTTATAACTCTAGAAGGGTTTTACTTGTTTTTCTAGGTAATACCATCTTATTCAATTTCACTATATTTGAACTGAAATATTGGAATATCTCTAGACAGTTTGATATAATTATGAATTCTTAAAGTCAAACATAAGGTTTAACATAACTTAGTGTTCTGATACTGTTAATTGAATTTTGAATTTTTCCTTTGTTCTATTGATTTCTTGCGTGTCTTCTTCCTGTTGCTTCTGACAGACTATAAGAGTTTTAGGAATTCATTATGATCTTCATGAGATGTAAATAGTAACTTATTGTACTCTTTTACATCAGTTGCATGCTTTTTCCGTGCAAATGCGGATGGCTTGATTTCCCTATATCTCTTCCTTTATGCATATATTGTTTAACTGCAGATGCCATGGAAATGTCCTTGTTGTTCAATCTTGCAATCAGTTCCAACTTTTCCCAAGAGGATTGAGATAAACAGACAATCAATCTTCTATAACTCAGAGCCTGCCTTGTCAGTTCTTCCTAAGAGGCGTATCCACTAATAGCTTCTAAATCTGTCACAAATTGTGTCTTCTTTGAATGACTTCCCCCTCTCTCTTTGGAACAACACTTGGTATTTGCCATGAGGTTCTCCTGTTATAACACTTCACATAGAGGGATATATAGATGTATTTATATTTTAAATGGCACAATCAGTTAGTATCAAGATGTAAAAAATCTTAGCTTGTTTATTGATAAGATGATAGCAAGACATAACTTCAAGCTGTAAACATTCTTCACTTTTTTAACTGGTAAGCTAATAGCAAAGACCTATAACTTACACCCATGTTTTCTCCTTTAGTTAACTGCCAGTTGCTTGTGAAAGGGGTTCCTCAAAAGGGCTCGGAGTGATAGCAAAGATGTCTTAACTCAAAAAGGCTTGCTCACCTTGCCATAGATAATAACACCTTAACATGCGATCTTCCAGACATATTAAATTTTTTAAGTCCAAATTTGGTCGGTTCAGAGCATCTCATTAAAGATATTTTTGGCATTTCTGATGTGGATGTCAAAGCTCTGTCAACGCATTGCTTCCACAGCAGTGGGTCTTGTCTCACTGGATCTGCATGCCTGTAAGTCCATGAGGCTGTTTTGATTATCATACATCCTTTGATATTTGTTGCTAAAGTTATTGTTATAGTTCATACTCTGTTCTTTTGTGGCTATATAGCAACTAAGGTTATTGTATCCCATGGAATCTGTTTACCCTCCATTTGGAATGGGAAAAAAATAAGGAGAGAAAACTAGGGGAGAAAAAAAGAAGAAAAAGACATTTTCTCTTCCTAGCATAAAAATTTTCCCTTAATTATCCCCTTCTTGAAGGGGAAATTAGGAAAAACAAGGGTGGAAAAATGTATTTTTCCTTTATTTTTCTCCCCTAAGTTTCATTCCTCCCTATTTTCTTTCCAGTCCGAAAAAAGCCTTTGCGTCTGTATGTGGTTTATGATGCAGGACTGATTTTATAATCACTCTTCAGGTTTTGGAGGAGCATTTAGTTGCTCAGTTTTTTTTTTTTTAATTATTCTGTGCCTATCTTTAGTGGATCTTTGATTTAGATCTTATGGCAAAGGCAGAAGGGTGGCTAAGCTGGAAATTCTAGCACTTGCAGCAAAGGTTATTGAGGGTTCCTCCTCACCCTGCTGTCTTCCATTGTTGCCTACTTTATTGATACGTAGATGAATTTTAGAACAAGCAAAGAGCTAAAGATAAAAGCTTGTCTCAATTACAATGGCTTGAGCTCCTGTCAGAAGCATATCATTGTAATGGCTTATATCAGTTACGTGTACAGGTATCACTCCCTTGTTAGGTGGCTTAAGCATGTCATACGCAGGAGCCACTGTTGCCAATATGAAAAACTCTTGGAGAAGCATTGTGCTGTTCCATCATGTGATCAAGATCCAGTTGGAAGATCTAGCTCCTCCCTTCAGGTCTTAATTTCATTATGATTATTGAATTCGGAATATGTTGGTTGTTTTGGTGTATCTCCATTTAGTTGTTGATGTTGTGCATAGCAAGACTTCTCTTGTTTCACGCGAACTCCTTGCACAAGTTGTAGCTGGAAAAATCTTCAGATAGTTAAACAAGTGGAAGATTGTTTGGGATCTTGAAGAGTCTCTTCATTCCTTCAATTTTATTTGCTTGAAAAACTACCATAAAGTGATCTTTAGCTATCTCTTTTCAAGTGAACTCTATTCAACCCAGTAAAAGAATCTTCCATAGTGTTAAGAAATGTGTGATACATTTCTGAATAATGTTTTTTGCCCTCTTACAGAGAAATGTTTCAAAGACCAGAGGGCAAAAGAAATTTCACGGTTTTGATAGAAATCAGTTCATGGATTCTCTGGAAGTAATTGATTCACGACATGATGCTGTGAAATCTTATTGCTCAAAAAGTCAGGTGGTGTCTTACATCTGGGCTGTCTCTAGAAGTATGCTACCCCCAGAATTGTTAGGTGATCCTTCTCATTGGAGGATACTGACTAGAAACATTTCCAGGTTTATACGCCTAAGGAGGTTTGAAAAGTTCCCTTTGAAGCTATGCATGCATAGATTGAAAACATCAACACTTCCATTCCTTTCAACCAAATATTTCTCAACTCGGAATGCTTTTCCAAAATATAATGGACAAAATGCTGGCCTGCACAAAGAATTTATAAATTTGAATAGTACTCTGTATGTTATCAAACGCAAGCTTCTAGAAAGGTGGATCTTTTGGTATTTCTCTTCCCTGGTTGTGCCTTTGGTTCAAGCAAACTTCTATGTTACTGAAAGTGAGCATGGGAAACAAGATGTATTCTATTATCGGAAAACAATTTGGGAGAAGTTGACAAGTGACACAATTACTTGCTTGAAAGATCAGAGATACAGTTACCTGGATGAAGTGGCTGTCAGGAATATTCTCAGAGACAGAGCATTTGGATTTTCGAAGCTCAGATTAAGGCCAAAAGAAAATGGAGTAAGGATGGTGGCTAATCTTAGTGGTTCTTCTAGAATGCCCGCCTCCACATCTTCCAGAAAAGTTCAGTCTTTTAGAAAGTTGAGAAAAGCAAATCCTTGTAAAAATAAATTTGATTATTATCAATCTGTGAATTCTGTTCTTCGTGATGCTCATACTATTCTGAAGGACATACAATTCAGGGAACCTGAGAAGCTAGGTTCATCAGTTTTTGATTACAATGATGTTTATAAAAAACTATGCCAATTTTTTATTTGCCAGAAGGAAGGATCAAAAACCATACCGGATTTTTTTGTTGTCACTTCTGATGTATTAAAAGCATTTGATTCTGTTGATCAGGACAAGCTGCTAAGTGTTATTAGTGATGTTCTACCAAAACGTGAATACTTTCTTAAACAGTATGATCAAGTTGTTAGCACAAAGAAATCTTTGTGGGTTCGCAAGCTTCTCAGCGTGCTTGATGAAAGTATGAGCATTGGCTGCAAAAGGTTCACCTCACCTGCTTCGTACTGTTCCATGCATACCATCTTTGTTAGTGAGGTATCGTCTTTTCGATGCCCTCTACTTTCAACCTGATAGTGCGTTTTCTCATATGTTGATCGCATTGTATGGAGTTTCGTTTTTCCGAAAGTTGCTTGTCTGATAATATTTCCCTGGAAATTTGTTGACTTTAATTTTGATATTTGGATTGATTTTGCTGACTAAAACGCAAGTTTACCTCTTTCAAACCGAAAAGTACTTTGAGGTCAATTTAGCTTACTAATAATTTGGTTGAGAAAAATCCTGAGAGACTAAAAGCCAGTTTAGTTGGCATATCCATGTTTATCCCATAAAAGTAACAAAAACTGCACAAGTTAGTGATGTATTTGAAAACTATAGGTTCACCTACTTTTGTTTATGAAGATTAGTACATATCTATTGCTCATGTCATCAAAGCTATAAGCAATATGCCCATCTGTTCTGAATACAAGTTGTTTCTAGAACTGCTGTGATGACATCCTGTGCTTTTTTGTCACATCTCTAAATTGGCTAGATTGAGAAGGGTCCATTCAAAGGGTGCTGGCTCAATTTGATTGCTTGTTCTAATTTACGATTTCTAAAATGAAAGTGAATTTGACAGCTTTGTTTTGTGGCTATATAATATCCTTAAGAAATGGAGATGTCAAACTCATGGCTTAATTCCCAATGGGTGTGTCATAGGAATCACTGAAATTCTCCAGCAGGGAACTCAGAACAAAGCAAATACAAAAATCAACTGGGGAACTTGAGTTTTGAAATTTAAACTACTGGGGAGCTTAAGTTTTGACTATACTGCTGCTATAGAATATTCCACCGCAGAAATACTACAAATAACGCTGATGGAGAGAAAACACAGATTACGATTCAAAACACTTGACAAACTGGAGGAATTAATGGTCTTGAGTGCTCACTAAATAGGCATACACTTCCAGCACAATCAAGCAGAACTAGAATCTCGTAATCCTAACAACTTAGCCAACTGTTCTATGTTTTTGTATATGTACTTCTGTGCTTTCTTCTGGACCAATAGTCCCCCATTTTCTGCCATTTCTCTCCCCTATGTCTCCTTGTGTGTGTTTTGGTGGCAACAGTGGGTCGGGACCTATAAGCTTGCTTGAGAAATGCTGAACCACAAATATAAATAAGGAGGTAAGACAACAAAAATGTATGTTTGCTTAATAGGTTATTTATATTGCTTTGCTTTTAAAGTGTTGATAAGGGGGGATTAGATATGCATTTAGAACGACTGAAAGTTTTGGTTAACAGGAAAAAGAAATATGTGCTCAATATAATATAAAATTTTCTGATAGTACAGGGGAGTGTCAAGCATGTGGAAGATAGAGTGCTCCTATCATATATTAAGCAGCACGTGAAGAACAATATTTTGCAGTTGGAAGGAAAATTTTACTTGCAAGGTGTTGGTATTCCCCAAGGAGGTATTTTGTCTTCACTGCTTTGCTCCTTATACTATGGACATTTGGAGAGGCATGTGATCTTTCCATTTCTCGAAAAAACTGTTGAATCTGGCAGTTGTAAGGAAGAATGTGCTTTGAACAGGAGCAGTGATAACAAAGTCTCTTCCCCATGTTATATGTTAATCCGACTAATTGATGATATTCTTTTTATTTCAACTTCAAAAGAACAAGCATCTGGCTTTTTCTCCAGGCTGCAAAGAGGATTTCGTGATTACAACTGCTACATGAATGATAAAAAGTTTGGAGTCAACTTTGATGTTGGACAGATGTCAGGATCCTCATTGAGGGTCCAAGTTGGTGAAGATGGCAATTCATTTCTTTGCTGGAGTGGTCTTCTTATAAATCGCCGTACTTTGGAAGTTCAGGCAGACTATACAAGGTTAATTTTCATCTGAGCTTTCCCCCCTCCCTTCAATGTTATTAGCATTTAACATCTATAATTGTCATTATGATTTTTTAATAATTATATTTTTTAGGGTTTAATGTTCATGCTCATAATCGAATGCCAATAATTCTATGATTAAAGATTTCAGGAGTTTCTTTCTTACTTCTTTCCCGTTCTCTTGTTAATAGTTGTTGGAGTTTGGAACAGTATATCTTCTGTTTCTATGTTACAGGATATCTTTTCCTTCCTTCCACTTTTTTTTTTTTTTTTTGTGCCCCTTCGTTTCTCTTTCAATTTGTGTTCTCTGATCTCTCATGAGGTCTGTCAAAGCTTCTGCCTTTTTTTTTTTTCTTGGAGCATTGATGTATTATGGGTGATCTGATTGTTTCCCTGTTTAGACAATTTTACTTAGTTGAGAAGATATCTCTATAAGCATGTCATGCTCTTCCATAATCTGAATTAAGCGACTTCGTATTCATACAGGTACTTAAAGGACCATTTGCGCTCAACACTTACTGTCTCCTGGCAAGGTAAACCGGGCCTTCGCCTTCAGGAAAGACTTTGTGGCTTTTTGGCACCTAAATGCCATCCTATATTCTTTGATTTGAATATCAATTCAGCAGCTGTGGTCAGGTTGAATATCTATCAGTCATTTTTGTTATGTGCAATGAAGTTTCATTGTTACATCTGTGAATTATCAATCATCTGCAAACTTCACAAGAGATTTTGTTTAAACAGCATTGAAAGATCTATCAGGTAGGGATGTAGTTTCATGCACTGTTTGGATCATTTTTTGGGGAGAATGACAAATAAGGACCTCATGAGAAAATTAATGTCAAGTCAAAAATTTTACTACTGAAACATGGGAGAAGGAATTTTGAGACCTTTAGTTGTGAAAAAAAATCCTAATTTGACATAAATTTTCTTATGGGATCCCTTCCTTGTCATTTCCCCCTTGGCATTTCAATTTTACCCTGATATAATACTCCCAGGATTCAAGCAGAGTTGCCTGTCTCCAATAAAATAAATGTCAGTTCCCATCAGTCAATTATCTTTTCTTTAATGATCTATTGCCAGTTATCTGTATGGACTCATGAAGAAGAGGATGCATTCCATGGTTCTTCACTGTAATTTTCGGCCAATTCTGAAGTTGGAGAAGGATGAAGTTGAGTGGCTTGGGCTTCATGCTTATGCACAAGTTCTAGAAAAAAAGCAATCACGTCATAAAGAATTGCTGGCCATTCTGAGGTCAAGGTTGCATTCACATAAAATATCTTCAAGTGTGTCTCCTGACCTTTTGCATGCAGTCAAGGCATCAAATTCCTCTGTACTTTGGAATATCAAGTACTGATTTCTTACAGGTACACTCTGATCTGATGTCAATCAACTATTGTTGTACTTATCACAATATATCAATTTGTAGATTATGTTTTCTATTTAAGTTTATCATTTTCTGGCTAATGTTTACTTTCCTTGGTCTAGATTTCAGCAACAGAAGATTGTTCTTTTGGTTGTTTCACTCAAATATTGGAGTGGGTGGAAAAGGAACTTGGTGAGATGGATAAAAATGGTGTGATGGAAAAGGGACTTCAAGAAAATTAGTGGCTGGAAAATGGATATTTATAGCACTTGACTGGAATATTGAGGTTCAACGTCTTTATGGTGAGACTAACAAGTTACAACTATGTTAATTGGCTTGCAAAGACACATGATATACCATTGACAGTTAATTTTGTTGTTTTTGTGCTGTGTCTTTTCAGTGTAGGTGATTGATTGGCTTAAAGAAAAATTGGTTGTTATATTTTGCCATTTTGTGTAGTTTTGTCGTTCCTTTCACTCCTTTTTTTAAGAAAAAAGATGGAAGAAAATTGAGTGATTGAGTTTAGTAATTTTTTAGTAATTTTGGTAAAAGCTCTTTTTATTTTGCTTTTGGAAGAGATTTGAGTGGTTGATTGACTTGAGGAAAAATTGGTTGTTATAATTTGCCATTTTGTATGGCTGTCATTCCTTTCGCTCCTTTTTCTTTTTTTTTAAAGATGGAAGAAAATTGAGTGATTGAGTTTAGTAATTTTGGTAAATGCTCTTTTTATTGTGCTTTTGGAAGAGATTTGAGTACTTCGACAAGAATTGTTTGATAGCTGATTAGTTCATATAATCTCTTCAGCAAATTAAGAGTAGTTTCTAGGAACATAAAGATGGCTGTATATTTGTTTAACCCAATTTTTTTTTTTACTTTGAAATGTTAGGAAAATAAATAATTTTTTTCCAAAAATTATTATGCTTATTTAAAATTGTTTAATGGATATGTTCCTTTTTATTAATTAGGTTATAAGATACTTTGGATTTATGTTGAACTTTGTAAAGTGCCTCTGTGAACATAGCCAAAATGTGTATAAATTATAATTGAATTTTTGGATACAAAGTTGCGAAATAGAACTTTTAAAAATGAGAAAAAAATAACACGACCATTCCTCAACAAAGAGTAAAATAATTTTTCTAATTTGTAATTTGATTTTTTTAAATCTTTCAAATGTGCAAAATATAGTCCCTTTTCATGTCCTTTTTCGAAATTTAATGTCTTTTTTTTTTGGTGCCAGTAAATTTAATGTCAAATCTAACAGTACGGCGATATAAATTTAGGCCTTAATGGGCGACAAATTATGTTCAAATCATGCAACAAATGTTTTTTGTTGGGACCGCCAACAATTAAAGGTGTCAAAAACAGATCCAAACTGATCATTTAAAACTAAACTGAACCAAAGTGACATAAAATGATTAAATTAATTATAAATAAGGTTTGTTTTTTTTTTTTATAAAAAAAAACTAATCCATTTGGTTTTGTTCAAGGTTTTAAAACTTGAACCAAATTGATTTAAATTCTCTAAAATTAATTGGGATTGGTGAATTTCTGTAAAGTTTTTCTAAAAAAGAAAAAAATTTATATTTTATAAAAAAATAAAATGAGCGAAAATACTAAACCAAACCTTCTTATATTTATTTTGTATTTTTTTATAAATCTTTTAAGTTTTTTCTCTTTCCTAAGTTAGTCATTTGTAAATAAATGATAAAAAAATATATTACAATTAGCTAAATGTTGTTTATTATTATTTTTGATAATTTTTTAAAATTTACAATCAAGTATTTTAAAGATAATTTATTATTTTTTTAATAGTTAAATGTGTTAATTAATTGTTCAAAAATATTCTTTTGTCCTCAAAATTTTTTTGTCACAAATAATAATTAGAAATTATTAGTAAATAAGTACATATATTTACAATGAAAAATATCTCTAAAAAGAAATTCAAACGGAACTAAATCTAGACCAAACTATTCAAAAACTAATTAGAGGAAAAAAATTGAATAGGCCCCAAATTTTGTGAATCAATTAGTTTGTAGAGTTGAAAATTTGAGACAGCTAAATTTATTCAGATCAAGTTTAAAGTATTATACCTTCTTAAAAAATTTAATATAACTAAGTCTAACATTAACTTTTTTCAAATGAGTTTGGGTTGGCCTATTGGACTTTGTCAAAATTATTGACTCTACAAACATATAGAGCTAGAACTTTTAGCGATCAAGTTTTGAGTCAGGTTTAATTTGGGCTTAGCTTTACTATTTACTCTTTTAAAAAAGCTCATATAATCAAGTCCGGTTTTAACTTTTGTTGAGTGGGTTTGGACTTGACCCGAATTACCAGATCTATTAGTTTGGTTTGATTTTATTGTCTCCTCAAAACTGAACCAAATTGATAAACCTATCAATATCCTTAACCACAATTCACAAAACAAGCGAGCAACTATGAGGCTTGTTGTAAAATTTTAGATGATGGCATGGGATTAAAAAGACAATATTGTATTTATTTTAACGGTTGACACTAGAAGCTAAAATATTTTTTTTTCAAGTAAATTATTGTTTACATAACTCAAAAGGAAGAACAAAACTTCAATATAATTTTTTTTTGTAATTTTTCAATTTAATCCCCCAATAGGCAATAATCTTCTTTGCAATTGCTTTTTGTATTCTTTTAGAACATCAAATTGAGAAGTTAAACCCATTACCCATATATAACTTTTTAAATAGCACAAGAAGTAGGTTTTTTTGAAAGTAAAGATTATCTCTCTTAAAATATCGAGGATAAAATGTAGATATTTTTTAACTAAATTGCTACTATATAGGGTTAGGATTTGAATTATCATTCACTTGTTTAAGTGACAAGAGTTTCTTTACTCATACTAATTTTAGTTGGTACCCCTATATAATTTTAATAGGGGGAGGAATGAAATTTAATGCCTGCCCTTCTTTATTTTAAAGGAAAAAATTTGTGGGGTAGAAAAAATATTAGTGAATATATATATATATATATATATAAAACTAATTCATGGGACACAATGTGATTTCTTCATGTTGGGGGGGGGGGTGATGGGGGTCCATGGAGAAGATATTTTGGGAAATGGCCTAGTCTAATATAATTTCACATATATATGATATATAGGTATCTAAAAATAAAATATAAGAGGCATATATTTCAAGAAGATACTCCTTTCATCCTTAAATATAAAATATTTTTTAAAAATTTATTTTATTTTTAAATATAAGAGGTATCAATGATATTTTTAAATAATTAGACAATTTTACCTTTATCTTGAAAAATGAAATAGATCATTAATTGTATGTTTTTTCTACCACCATTATGATATTAATTATGATATATTAAAGGTAAAACTGAAAAATTATTATATTTTTATGTGAGTTCAATCAAGTAATAAACTTTTATTATTATGTAAAAATTTAATTAAAATATTTTATATATAAGAATGAAGGGAATATATGGTTTCTACAGTTAAATTCAGGAAGACGCGTGCTAGCCAATAATTGGAGGACAAGTGGGATTGTTGTTTTTCTTCCGCAGGTTGATACAGTGATTGGCATGTGAGTGGTGGCTGTATAATTATGGCCTATAACTGTATTGAAGTTGATATATGGTTAATTCTTTCCAAGTCCTGTCAATTGCCATAGGTTGAGGTTATATATATATATATATATATATATATTTCTTATTCAAGTTGTTACATGATTGGCATTTTGCAGCTACTTGTACGCAACTTAATGAGGTTCATCCACTTGTTAGATCCTCCGTATTTGCAACACGTTTTTGTGGGATCAAAGAGTTGAATTCATTTCATATTCTCATTTCATTTAAAAATATAAAATATTTTTTAAAAATTAAATATTAAAAAAATAAAATATTTTTAATTTTTTAATGTATAATCATTATCTTTTTTAAATATTCTTATTAATAAATAACTTTATATTTATTACAGGGTGTTTAGTAGGAGTAGATATAAAAATATAAGATTAGTTTAAAATAGGTAACTATTTTATAGGGGGTGAGATTCGATTAAAAATATCTTACATTTTTTAACGGATAAAGTATCTTTTTTTTTTTCTTTTTTAATGACAAGGAAAATCATTTGAATCGGATTGGAATATTTGGAAGGAAAAATAACAATAAAATTCTCTTAAATTATATAAATGATAATTTAATCTCTTAAAATGTTATAATTTTACTGAAGAAGTTTCAAGATACTTCTTTATCAATAAATTCTAAATTAAAAAAATTATTTACCCTTATTAAAACTTTATAATTTCTTATTTAATTCTTACAATTTTTTTTAAAAAGTTGTGATTTTTTAAACAAAAGTTATGAATTAGGTTTGTTATTTTGAGAATCTATTAATCAATAATATAAATTATATTTAATAAATTGTGATTTTTTATTTACTTCTTGCAATTCACAAAATAAAAGTTGTTATTCTTTAAGTAAAAATTGTAATTGAAACTTTTGTTTAATAACAAAAATTATAGTGATAGCAGATTGTATTTTTTTATTTAACTCTTGTAATTTACTGAACAAAAGTTACGATTTCTTAAGCAAAAGTTGTGTTTGTGTCTTGTTATTTTCATAGAGGGAAAAAAGTCTTTTCACTAAAAAATTATTGATAAAGATATCTCTAAAAATTTTATTGAAATTTTGATATTTGGAGAGACTAAATTATTATTTTATATAATTTAGATGAATTTTATTATTATTTTTCTTATTTGAAAAGAGATATACAAATTAATTTATTTATTCTGAAAAAGATTATTTTGTTAGAGACATCGTTTTCTCATGCATCCAAAACATTATGAATGACCTCAATCTACCATCGAAACTCAACAACAAGTCTAAAAAATAACAGATTATGTTCACGTGAATTAGAGTCATTTATAGCCGTGAAGTGTACAATTTATGATAAATCAATTGATTAATGAAATGCACCTGAAAATTAGCTTCCATAATTTTTAGCCAGTCATTCATTTTCTTTTATATAGGTATATTGTGTTTATTTCTTGGCTCATAATCATTTCAAATATATTTAGTGAAGTTTTATGGAAATTTTGGGACTTGATTCTTTCTCTTTTGGTAGGATGAGACTCTACTCAGTACTCACTGTTATTTGCGTGATTAGCCTGCTTGTTTATAGAAAATCACCTACATATTTTATTTAAATTAAGATATTGTATCTCACACACACACACATGTATATGGAAAATTAATATGTCAGTACTTATACATTTCTCCTATTTTTAATTTGCAATATAACATCAATATTGATACAAGAACCACTTAATGGTTAATTCCTTTGATCTTAATTATTTATAAGTAAAAGGATGTTTTTATAATAATTTGATAATTTAAAAAGGAACAACTTTTAGAGTTGCATAGAGCAACTTTACTGTAGTACAACAAAAACTTGTGATACAACACTTGCAGATTCCAGAGAATCAGAGATATAACGCCAACTTGGAGCCACACACACACACACACACACACACACACACATTAACACTTCACAAAGCTAGTGGCTACACACTTCATAGCTAAATCTAAATGCTATATTATATTATCTATATATATATATATACACACATACATACACAGCGTGTTTAATTTCCCACACTTTGGAAAAACAATACAACTTGACACTCCCACAACTCACACAACATTAAATTTCTCTAAATAAAAAAAGGGATCTTTTTTAAAAATAAAAACAAAAACAAAACTTCGAAAAAAAAAAAATCAGGCGTGGGAAGAAGCAAGCTGACTTATGAAAGCCAAAGCATTACTAGTAAGCTGAGCCACAAGCACAATCCTGCTTCTCACAGTGTTCTTCACATTTCCATTCATGGAAGCTCCTTCAAACCCATCACTGCAAGTGCTCTCATCAGTCAAAGCAGCACTAACCCATGTCTGAACATCATTCATTGTCAGCTCAAAGTTTGATTCTCTTAGCTCACTCATCTCTCCAATGGACTTTCTCAGTTCATCTACTGAGTCACTCAGCTGCTCCACACAGTCCCTCAATGCCGCCGCCTCCCTCGGCTTCAGCCTACCGTGGAGGCTCTTGGATAGTGTCGACATCATCGCCGACGTCGCCTTCGCCGACGCCAGAGTCACGTTTAGCGCCGTGCCGGTGAGAAGCACGGGGCTGGTTTGTATGAAGCCGGCGTGCTTTGATAAGGAAGCAAAGCAGAGTCTTGGGTAGTTTGTTGAATTACAAGATGTTCTGATGAACTGTGTGTTGTTGGCATCTTGGTAGGGTTTCTCAGAAGATGTGATTGAGATTATTGAAGAAATTATAAGAATCATGAAAATGGAGATAAAGAGATGGATAGAGGAAGAAGAAGATGGAGAAGGAAAGGGCCTCATCTTTAATTTCTCAAAAATAGGAGAGAGAATTAATGTTGTAGTGTTGGTGATGAGGAAAATTGGAGAGAATATGTAAGAAATTTATAGTCCTTAAAATTTGGTTTGTTGGGTTTTATTATTGGGGAAAATATCACAATAGGTTCTAGTACTTCAATTCCATTTTATTTTTAGTCCATATAATTTTTTTGTTGTTCACATCAATTCCCTTTAGTTTGATTAGCGTGCAACATTAGTTTTTATAATTCTAAAAATATAAATTAAGACCATGAGTTGGCTTTGAGAAAATTTTAATTTGGTGCTATACCCATTTCCTAGCATAGTAAAAATATGTTGATGGCATGAAAATAAATTGATTAGATGTAGCTAAAAATTGAAGGTAAATTGGAAAAAGAACTTGAAAAAATGACAATAAAATCCCTATATAAATGATATTTGGTCCCTCAAAATATCATAATTTTCTTAAAGTCTTTAAGGACTTTTCTATCATTAATAAATTTATATAAATTACTAAATTATCTTTATTACAAATAAATGATTCACAAATTTTATTTAAATATTCATAATTTTTTTTTGTTATATTCGCAATAATGCAACAATAAATTACAATCTTGCAAGTTAAATTTTTTATTTATTATTGCATTATTGTGAATATAAGAAATAAAATTGTGAATATTTAAACAACATTTGTGAATAATTTATTTTCAATAAGAATAATTTAATACTTTATATAAATTAGTTAATGATAAATTTTTTTTAAAGATTTTAAAAAAATTATAATATTTTAAGAGATTAAATTACTATTTATATATTTTAAGAGATTTTATTGTCATTCTATCAAACAATGTTTTTTTATATTTGGTTTAAATAGAACGTGGGAGACAAAAGTGAGATTAAGTACCTGTGAATAAAAAAGTTAGTAAAGTTCGTCACGTTAGTAAAAGTAATTCAATCGGTGCTAATGCATAGTTTTTATATGTATTTTTAAAATTATAGAGATTAATGCTGCAGGTGAATCAAACTAAAGGGATCATAAACAATAATAAAATATAAAAACTAAAAGTTAAATACAATTAAAATCTAGGGAGTTATTATTGTATTTTCTCCTAATAATTATTGCTATTACTATTATTATTATAATACCTTTATGTTGGGACATTGAAGTAATGGCGTCATGGTGAAAGATATTTTCCTGAGAAGATATGATTAAAGTTATGGAAAGATCTTGTCCACAAATATAATATCATAAAAGATATAATAATTTAGTGATTTCTTTTGTCCTTGAAAATTTACTTTTCTCTTTCTTAAAATGAGAGGACGAGACGCCATTGGAATCATTTTGACCCAAATATAACATATTCAGTTAATAGAGCTGATGTTTAACTTAAACGAACTATTTAGCGTGTGAAATCAAGTACGTATTCTTAAAAAGAAATCACTTTATTGTAATTTATATAAAAGAATATAACAAATATATTTAAAATCTTTAACATTCATAATAGTGCTTATAATGTTCGTTAGAATTTATTTGAGAATTACGTTATTGTTGAAATTGAATAATATCATTGTTTTGTTACATTTGTTTGAAAATTCATATGAATATATTTCTTTTTGTAGTTATTTAATTTGTTAAGAGAATAATTTTTTTTATTCAATGTGTTTGAGAATTATTACAATGTTGATGTAGTAATATCATTTAACTTCTTATAAGTTATGCGATCTTTTCATGATATTTTTTATATAGCTATATATATTAGGTAAGATTTAAGCATTGTTAGATTCAATTAAAGGAAGCTCTGGATCTCAAAAACGTTTCTGTATCTACTTCATCATAATTTTGATATATTTATGAAACCCATTATTTTTTTTTGGGTAATAATACCAAACTTGGTACTTTTTATCCTATCATATAATTTTCCTGGGGTTAGTATTCCAGAATAATATCTATTTTAAAATCTTAAAAAAAAAGTGTGATTAAGTGATGGGGGTCCTCGGAAAAAAAAGTATTTAAGTGGGAGCAGGCTCTAAATTTTCACAAAAAGCTGGGTCCTATATAACGTTTGTAAAGCTTTTTAATAATAAAGAAAATAAAAAGGGTATCCAATGGAGATATCTTTTGAAGATTTTATCCATATTGATGAAACGCAGAGTGGGCATGCAAATGGCAATGCAATAATTGGATGAGTGGGTCCCTTTGCTTTCTTTTCATTCATACAGTGACTGGCATGTGAGTGTGGAGGCTATGATTTATTGTGACAATATTTGTGTAGAGTTTTTTATTTTTAATTTTTTTTGGGTACATTATAGAGGTTTTTTTATGCACAAGCCGCCAATAAACTGTGCAAAATAATAAAAAAAATTACATCTTATTTAGTTAATTTTGCAATAGTGTTTGCACTCAGGGGGTAGGTTATATTGTAATTTGTAAGGTCATATGTCACTAGATGCCAGGTAAACAATTAGATGTGCATGTCTATTGACTTGATCAAATATAATCGTCCATTCATGAATGATAAAATTTTTGATTTTGTTAATAATTTTTTATATAAATGGTTATTAGAAAAATTGTGTCAGACAAGTGAGGGTTTTTGCATGTGTATACACTCTTTCCGTCCCTATACATATATAGGTGTTTTCAATTGAATTCTTATATCAATAAAAGTTTATTAATTTGTTGAAAGCACATAAAACTATAACAATTTTATAATTTTATTCTTAATAATATTATAATTAATATCATACTGGTAGGTGATAAAGTACACAACAAATATTTTCTTTTTTTTAAAATAAGGGTAAAAATGTTTAATTATTTAAAAATATTATGAGGCCTTTTATATTTAGAAATAAAATAAAATTTTTGAAAAATTTATATATAAAAACGGAGGGAGTATATATATATGGATAATTGTTCAACTTTTGTAAGTAATATTCCTCACGTTTTTTATTATAAGTGGCTTTTAACTATTTTATTGAAATCAAGAAATGATAGTTAACTTATTAAATAAGTTTTAAAATAAATATACCATGAGCCATAAAATTAAATTTACAATAGGGGTATAATTGAAAAATGGCAATAAATAAATTTTCACATCTCTTATATTAAAAATTAAATAATATTTATAGAAGGTACCTTATAATAAGAACTCGAAGGAGAGAGTCCCTCTTGTCCTGCATGTAAAATAAAACTGATCAAATTTATAAGGTGTTGTGTGAAAATATTAAATAAATTTCTTTTTTTATATTTATATTCTTACATTCTTAAATTATAAGATACTTTTGAAGAAGATTCAATGTTTCAAAATATAAGACATTTTGAAAAAATTAAAGTTTCGTTAAATAGATTTATTCTAATATTACCCTTTGTCTTTCTCTATTTAATTCTCATCACTTTGCCTTTTTAATATATTAAATAAAGAATATTTTTAAAAGTTTATATTTTTATTTTTTAAAAAATAAAATTATTAAATATATTTAATAAAATTTATTAATATTTAAAATTTTTGTTCAAAAGTGTCTTGAAATGGAAGAAGTTTAATTTTGTTAGTAATCTCGTGACTTTGAAGCTACATTTTGTGATGATCATTTTCACAAAAAATCTATATGATAATTAATTTCCTTAATTTTCGTAAAAATACATGAAACATTTTATAATAAGAACCAAAGAGAGCACATCACTTGATTGGCACTTGGCAACTACACATTGGACAACAGTTTAAAGGCTCAACTTGTTAGGTTACCACTACTTGCAAGAACCTTTTATAGCTCCAATAGCACGTGTTTGAATTGATGAGTGTTAATTTTTGAAGGATTACATTTATTCGATCCGGACCACTTAAATTTAATTAATCACATGGTTTATATTTATTTTTTCTTGTCAATAGAAAAAGTTTAGGTAAGTTAAATATTGAAAATTGCCATAAACATGACAGGATAAGTTTTTATTGTTCAAAGAATGTTTGTAAGGAAGCATATAAATTACTACACTGGTTTTAAATATAAGAAATTACCTTTGTTTTTTTTTATATAAACAAAGCTACAAATTTCTAGAAGTATTAATTACTTTGTTTTTCAAATTGTCCCTTATTAATGGATAGTATTATTAAATTAAGGAAAAAAGTAAACATTAATTACAAAAACATTTTAGCCCAAATTTTCAATTTTAAATATAATTATTATGACTGATTATTTTCTTAAGCTACGTGAGTTGGTTAAAGTTCTTCTATATTCAGAAATGAGTTCTAATGCATGCCCTTGTTGGATATGAATTACATCACCACAGACGAATTTTTTTTATATTTTTATGTTAAAATTTTTTTTTTAACAAATATATATAGTTACAATATTATTTTTATACATTTACAAAAAAAATTACGATACATATAGTAATAAGATCACAACCGTGAAGTTTAATTTAGATAATATCCAGATCTAGTAATGAGAAGATGCGCATAGGATGTCAACTTGCATGGTTCTACTTGTGGATAAAACTCATAAAAAAGTAAGAGATATATATACATTATAACCTATACGATAATATTCAAATTCAAATATTAAAAAAATAAATAAGAAATAAAGCTGTCTCAGCCCAATTATTGTTGATGTATGTTATCCGAATATGATAAAGTAGCAATTGTCACAAAGTTTCTTCCAAATAAATTATTACAATCATGGTGTTGAAGTATTATTGAGGATGTACGTGAACTAATTAAGAGAGAACTTGGTCTTAGGGGTGTTTAGCGTATACCCATCTTAATTGATTTGGTATCATCTCGATTATATTGGGACGGGTCTCGCCTTAGCTCAAAAACAATCAGGATGAGACTTTGTGAGACGGAATAAGAAAGGGGTTGGAATGGGACACGAAATTACCACTGTGACATCTTGTCTTGTCCTGAATATTATATATATTATTTTTTATTTTAAAAATATACATTAAATATATTAAATATATTAATATAATTATACTTATATTAATTATATGAATAATGATTTGATGTTGTACTTGACTGGCCTATTATTGTTGCTTTTATAACCAAAAAATCACTTGTAATTGCTATTATAA